GGCAGCACCGAATGCAATCGTTCCAGAACTGTTACCAGCAATGGCAGCACCGAATGCAAAAGTGTGTGAATGCTGAAGGGGACTACTTTAAAGGTGATAATGTCACGGAGAACTGATTCTGCAGGTACAATGATTTATTGGACTAGTCTCGTTACTTTTGTGTCACACCTCGTATATATATATTGGTTACCGACTGTCGAACCTAATAGAATTAGTAATAGATACGTGATGTACTGTCGGTAATTGGTAACTGCTGTCGATAATAGATCTAGGGTGTGATTTTGTACAAAAGAAACGGTTCCGCAGGATGTTACAAAACCAAAAATACATCCGTGTCTCCGCCATTTTATTAATTCGCTTATTCACTGCTAGTGACGCATATTAAAGTTATACAGGAAAAATCAAAAACTGGATAATGATAAAAAGTTGTTTTTTATTTCGATTTTATATCAATCTAGAACGTGTCCTATTCTAGTTGCATTTTTTTTGTAAACGTTTTGTGATCTAACATCACGGAGGAACAATTTCTTAAATCATACGTAAATTTTTCGTAAATCGCATTTAAATTTAAACACTACATTCTTAATAATATTGGTAAAATTTTTTTTGAATACTCAAAATAAATATGATACGACTTCTTTTCCGTAATGTTCTAGGAAGTAAATGTTTTAGCAGACATCTTCCTCATGTTTGGAGGTCATATTTTTGCCCCACATTATGTATTTACCACAGATTAAGAAGTATCATTTTTCCCATCCCTCCTGTGAATTCTCTCGCGTCATCAGAAATGGCTTTTCCGGAGTTGGACACAAAAATCTTTCGTACTCTAGACGGCTTTCGCTTGATCTCTTACCGACTGGCTCCAGCAAACTGTTCCAGAGACCGTTAGCATCTTGAAAATAATAAATCGATTGATAAATCAGTACTGGAAGTGTAATGACGTAAATAACGAGCGTTTACTGTAACAAAGGCAGCGAGTATTTCGATTATTATAGGCGACAAATAAATATTCATGTCTAGAATAATAATTAAGCAGGTACAATGTTAAATATGCTGAATTGATTTGTATACAGGGTGTTACCTGTAACGCTACTCACGATTTTTCTCCCACTTGCAGTCGCTCTACGAAAAAATGTTTAAGACAATATTTGCAAAGTATAAAGTGCACAATAGATATTAGTAAAGCAAATTTTGAAAACGGTTTGGTCTCTTGACAAAGTCAAGGTCACCTTGGGTTTTTTAAATAGGAACATACATTTTTTTTTATTCATATCATTAGAGAACATCGAGACGAATTCAAAACATATATTACATGATATTTTTATTAATATATTACTCGATTTACAGGAGTGGAAATGTGAAGTATTTAACTTTTGACTTTGGTAATGTAACCATTATTTGATTCCGAAAAGATTACTGAATGTAAACACACGACTAGAATGTAAGAAAATACACTTTATTTAATTACATAGGGTGTTACCTGTAACGCTACTCACGATTTTTCTCCTACTTGCAACTACCTTACGAAAAAAAGTTTAGAATAATATTTGCAGCGTATGAAGTGCACAATAGATAGTAGTAAAGCAAATTTTGAAAACAGTTTGTTTTCTTAGCAAGACGAATTCAAAACATATATTACATGATATTTTTATTAACATATTACTTGATTTACAGAAGTGGAAATGTGAAGTAAAATACCGGAATATTACGTGATGGAAGCGGCATACATTTTGAACATGTAATTAAATAAAGTGTATTTTCTTACATTCTAGTCGTGTGTTTACATTCAGTAATCTTTTCGGAATCAAATAATGGTTACATTACCAAAGTCAAAAGTTAAATACTTCACATTTCCACTCCTGTAAATCGAGTAATATATTAATAAAAATATCATGTAATATATGTTTTGAATTCGTCTTGCTAAGAAAACAAACTGTTTTCAAAATTTGCTTTACTACTATCTATTGTGCACTTCATACGCTGCAAATATTATTCTAAACTTTTTTTCGTAAGGTAGTTGCAAGTAGGAGAAAAATCGTGAGTAGCGTTACAGGTAACACCCTATATTTGGGTACATCGTGAACTCCTCATCATCAAGGACAAGTGTAGAAGACATACCTATTATGGTTTATCTTCAAGTCCAAAACAAGTTATGAAAATCTAGGAAGAGTCTAAAGAAACTGGATTTAAAAAAACTTGAGAGGTACCAATGAAATCGGTAGAGAGAATTTAAGTAGAAGTTGTGAAAAACTTCTGAAACACCTCAGTAGAATCTAAGAATAGTTTAACAATGACATGTAAGCGTTATCGGTTTAACGGATGTAAAAGCTTTGATAGAATGATTACATACATCGTGCATTAACTTTTTGACTGGGGTGAAAACAATCGATGGATACTTGTGTAAAATCTGGCCGTCCGTCTTCCGTAAGTGGCGCTGACATACTTTGAAGAACAGGTGAAAGCACAACAGTGAAATCTTCTCTATTAAATTCTGGATAACTAATAACTTCTTCTTCTACTTCCTGCCACCTAAAAAGGAAGAAAATAAAATATATACAAAAGCGAGTTTTCAATTTTTGTGAAACTGTATAAACTTACAACACATAAATTGTATACAGTTCCATGATGAAAATTTCTAATTTCGAATCCGTCAAATCACACCCACCTTTTTATCATGTCGTAATATTCTGATATTCGGTCTTGGTATTGCAAACCGAACAAACAGGGACAAAAAAATCGTGTCATAATATAACACCTCAATATTGGTTGAGTTTTCATGACATCAACGTATCTATTGAGAGAAAACATCGTAGTAACTACGACAAAAGTCCTTGGTAAGTTATTCCGTAATATTCTCAAGGTATTGACTAGATCGCTTCTATAAGTTTCCAAAATGGACGACGGTGTTGGCGCAACACATACCTCATTACACAAATCGTTGTGTCCAATAAGTATTGAGATCAGCTGTAAGGAAACAGAATTAATATTATTGATGTACTGTTAGGTAAGAATCGCCGCAGACTCGCCTGCAATTCCCATGGTGCAACATTTCGCTGAACGTAGACGCAGAAAAGACCTATTATTATAATTCGCGGTTATCTTAATTAATTAGCTGTCTGTGCGAGATTCCGGACGTTAGAAAAATTTGTGGCTCATATTCGAAAGTGTTCGGGAACGTTGATTTCGCTATAAGCGATATCCATGACAGATTACAATAATGTCGAAGCTTATAGCAGTCGAAGAAGTGTAACAGGAAATTATAAATGGAGTATTAGAGAACACTGATGTTGCCTAACGTCTCTAGGAAATACAGTGTAGTATTGGTGCAGTGTTACTTCATGATTTTTCGGAAGTTAATTGCGTTCGACGTACATGCGACTACATCATGTGCGAAATATATATTTTCAGAGAAGAAACCGCCAGAAACATTAAATGAATATTTGAAGATAAGACACTTAAATCTCCGATAAACTTAAGCGTAGAAAGATCTCGATCTAGGAAAAGTTTATACCAAGCGAAATCTACCTTGGACATAATTTACTATTTCCAATTCTATCGAAATGTGTATAATGATATATTTTATTTTATGCATTTAGTGACTTTGAATGATTTTTCTGACTGCTTGAAAATACGAACCTTCCAGTGTTTTTTGATATTTACTCTTGGATCCTGCTTCATCCTATCGACTAGGTATCTGGCCATGAAGGGCATGTCCTTAGCCATTGCAGCAAATTCAGCTACGTTAAACTGCGAATCCGGATTAGAGGTGTACGTATCTCCAAGCGAATACCCTATTAAATTCGGGTTGAATTCCTGCATGCAACAAAATTTAAAATCATAAGTATACTAACGACGACCGATCGAAAAACAAATCACAATGCAACAAAACCTAGATATTTTCCTGCCCCAGAAGGTCTGGGGGCAAAGTAGGAAATTACGGAGGAATAACGTCGTGTGCACTGCTTTTGCAGCTCGTCCATTTACTTTCTTTTAAAAGCCATTCTGTCATACTAGTCCGAAATTAAAACGAGTGTCCATACCTGAGCGCATAATTCACGTTTGCAAGAAGAGATTCTACCAGGAGTTTATGCAACCACATGATATCGAGGTTCTACTGTATAAAGGTTGACTGACCTACTTGAAGGTGTATAAGGCGAATCATGTTGTGTAGCGCAATCATGTAGTGTTGTATGAAATTGAAATGAATGTACCTTCAGAATGTTAGGAAGTGTCAAATACGTTCGCCAATTTCCCTGACCTCCGATACTCGCGGCGGCTCCCCTATTCTCGATGAGTACCTGCATCAAATTCATTGCGAAAATACCATTACCAGCTGTTATAGAATCACCCATTGCAGCAACCACATCGATATCACCAGGTCTTAAACGGTGAACCGAATCTGGTACTTTTGCAGACCTGCCACCTAGCAGACAGTATCTTCCATTACAATCAAGGAATAGGACGCAGCACACATAAGTTACTCTTTATTGGATTTAGTACATTTCTAATATTGATAGTTTGTTACCAGCAACATTGCAGGGAAATGGAACATCTGGTGGTAGTTGTTTTTGAAGGTGCTCTAGTCTATACCTTGTAGGTCTTTGTAGCTGATCTCCACCTAAGCAACAATGTTTCGTTACGTTATTAATGAACGATTGCTATATTTTTTAAGATATTCAGATAGAGTACTTTCTACCTAGTAGAATCTTGATACCTAGTGCAAAAGAATCTATAACGTTTATGAGAGATTACTTCTTATTGAAGTGCATTGACGAGATTACAATTCTTGAAGTACCAAACATCGAGCAAGAATTGGTAACATTAAATACCTAGAATTAAATAACGCAACTTCTATCCATCATGCGCCATTTGTAATATATGTATAAAATGCAACGAATCGAAGAATCTGCAATTTTTACAGAAATCACTTTATTCGGTTACACTATAAAGACCTTATCGTACCACCGCAGTGTACAGAAACATATTTTGAGAATGCAGAAATATACTTCGAATACATGACTGTAGGAGAATTAGAATCTAAGACATTCCGCATAAGTATCAAGTATCAGTTATGTAACTCAAGGAAAAACACTAAAAAACACTCACTTTCATAGAGAGGTTCATAGCATTGTATTTAACAAATTAAAAGGAATATGAATGAAAAATCTCAATTTTTATTAAGAAATCACGTATTCTTCGGATCGTGATACCATGTGACCTTTAAGAAGAAATTCCCGAGTAAGTTGATGTGGAAATGTCACCTACCAAAATTGTATAATATCCATTTACGAAAATTCCGATAGATGTGCAAATTTTCTGGAGAGTCCCATTCCGTCTTCTGGGCCGCTATCAGCACGCATAACAGTACGACAGTTAGAAATTTGTGCATGATTCTTTTTAAACTAATGTATCGAGTACCTCTAAGCACACATAACTACCTACGATAAATGGATTCTGTTGTATAGGTACAGTATGACGTGATATTTCTTCTACCGGAGTTCAAAATGATAATCTGATGGTCATCGTAAACTGAAGATAATGACATGCACGTATACCACAAAAACACATTTATATACTTGTGCTGTTGAATTATACATATCCATAATTTCCACGCTGGTTAATCGAAGAAGCTGAACCTTCAAATGCAATTAATCGAATAATTATAGCAAGCTATTATGTAGTAGATAAGTATCTGATAGGTAATTGCCTGCTAAAAAGTTAATTTTCGTGTAATTTATTGAAAACCAATTATCTAGATGTATAATATCATATTTCACAGGTAGCTATAATTATTTAAAAGTTTAATATGCCATTAGTACGACATTTTGATAACCGTTATCATATGTTATTATAAGTTATGTTTATTTATCAAAAGTATTTTAACGTATATAGCAATACCACAGAAAATTCCGTAAGTACTTAGAAAATAAGTACCAGAAAATTTAGACAACAGTCCCTTGCAACAAGGACGCTTCACACTCGAACGAAAGTGAGAGTATGCCTTTCTTTAGAAACAGGCGAAAATCGTTTTCGCCTTTCAGAAAGGGAAAGAGACAACGGATTTCTCGGATGCTTACGAAGCGATCGTCCAGCGAGCAAAACGAAGCCGTTTAATTGTTTTATGACCCGACGCGACGGGCTGAACGGCCGAAGATGTTGTCCGGAACTCTCATATTCTCTAGGCTCGAAACATGGAGTCACAATCGACAGTTTAGGACAGAACGTTCGAAGCGAAACGTTAAAGAGAAAAATCACAGAAGGTATTTTCGAATAATCATTCACGCGTCTCTGTTTATTTATCCATCGTTATTATATTAGAAAATTAGTAAAAAGTGACAAAAAATATTACAGTGAAAAGTGATAATAAAAAACAATAGTGAAGTGAAGTTGCGTATTATTTTTACGAATAATTACAGATTTCAACAGAATTATTTTTAAACAATTGGTGAGTCTTATTTTAACGGTTTATAAGTTTCATGTAAATCTAGAGTTACAAAAATTTAATTTACTTACTACAATTTAATGACAAACGAATTAGTGAACATTATTTGTAACTGTGCTCTTCATTATTTGATTGAGATTTGACGTAAAGGCTTCTTATTAAACGTTTACACTGTCCATGTTTTTCCTTAATAATTAAAAAACGAAGCTTCAAACCCCACTTTTGCAAAGGGAAATCTTGTTCAGAATCATGTCCTCTACCACCCCTTTCCGGGAGAGACACGAGTTGTAGGACACCCTGTATATTTTCTCAAAGGAATATGTTGCGAAATAAAATAGGTGTACAATGGCATAAAAATGCATAAAAATATGTATTTTAAATATTTGAAACCAAACGAAGCAATATTTTGTTAAATTAAAACTGAGATATTAAAAATTGTATAATAATAAATATTATTGACTTAAAGTTATAATATTTACAATACATCTCATTCATCTAAGGGAGGAGACAAAAAATAATGACTTTAATCTATACAGCAAATGGAGAAATGCAAAATTAGTCTTATTAATTAACAGCCAACAGCCATACTAGTCAGGATATATCGATTCTCGTGGTTCTCGTGTATGCTTGCATGAAGCGAAATCTATGTGCAATCAAGTGAATTTTTTTTCTAATATAAGTTGTTACAAAGACAGCGAATCAATTATAGTAACTATAATATAAAAAGTAGGGAAAATTTATTGTTTTTCCTAACAAATAAGCATTACGCGATTTTAACCTCTATTGAGGTTATGTTGTCGAGTGGCAAGCACATGCCGCGTGAATTGCCAGTAATAAATGGGAGATGTAAGAGATGGTGAGATGAAATCGGCGAATCTTTCAACTTCAGATAAGGAAAATGAAAATATCTCTCACAAAAATAAAGCCAGTCAAGATGGAGCATCGATGAGAGGGGAAAAACGTGTTCGTGAGGTAACCTTAACAAATATACGAATCAAGGTGAAGAGTGGAAATATTGAGGTAAATTCAATTATGGATTGAAAAAAGCTGAAGCTCAACCAACGCCCAATTTAAAAGCAAAAAAGAAAAACTAAGTGCCTTTGACTCAACCAGCATGTTTTGTCAGCTGCACAACAACGTTTCAACCGGAGGTAATTCCTGTCAAGAATACTGCAGTAGAACACAGTAATATCTCAGTTTTGCTAGAAACTATTCAGCAGCTAAAACAGGAAATAGAAAATCTAAAACCTGAAAAGTATAACTCAACAAATAATAGTACTAATAACATTTTTTTTATTTTTTTTTTTTTAAACCATCAACTGAGAATAATGGGCAATTGCAAAATGTGAACAACATACTAATGCAAAGCAAGTACGAATTATTAAGTGATTTAGCTTCTTGCAGTTACAAAGCTAGTCAGCAGTGGCGCAGCAAGGAAAACTTAACAAGAGATGTAATGGAAACACAACTTGAGGCGGAAGAGCCATCAACCATAGGCAGTTTTGCCCCTACTAACAAGGCTGGAATACTTTCCGACATTAGCCAATTCAATAAACCCACAAAAGCACCCC